AAAACATAAACAACACCTTATAAAAAAGTCATTTCTGCAAATACTAAACTAGATGGAGTTAAATCCGTTGTGTGTATGCGTCCATGCTCAGCACTGTTACTGAGGCCTAGCAAAGGCAGAATAAGACAGCTGCTTACCAGCAAGCCTGAGCGCTTCCTTTTAGGACAGTTTGAAACTGTGAGCACTGACTTTTAGTGCCAGCCTCAAGTGGCCACTAGAGGAACTGCAGCTTCTGTTCAGTCGCGGCGCTAGGCCCTACCGGCTAGCTCACCACTGAAGACCGGTTCAATTCAAAGTTCAACAAACTCCTCGATTAAAGATACGTTTTAAAAAGTAAGGCTTCACAGTCGCAGGCAACCATCTGGCAACCACCAGTAACGAGGGTAAAATATGGAAAAGAGTGTATTCTGCAACTAGTTGGGGAATAGTTGCTGCAAACAAAAGTGCGACACAAACCGGAAACGCAGACTGGCGTTCAACGTAAGAGTCGTGCCTCACGCTGTGGTGAACTCATTTTAAAAGGTGCAGGTTCAAGTTTGCATGCAAATGTTCTCTAGTCTCGTCACTGCTGCTCGTGAGCGTTTGCAGTCGTCCACAGCCAACCCGTTAGCAACGACGATGATGCCTCATGGTGCAACCTCCAGCAACCACTCACCAACCGGTCCAGTAATGCACATTTTTACCTAGCAACCAGAGGTTACCAGGGGCGTGCCATGTGGCTCAGGCGTAATTATATTAATTATATTAATTTGTTGTACAAAAATAATCTTGATTTTAGGCCATAATCAAGCGGCCCTAATGATCTGGACTAATAAATAGTGTTTTTTGGACACTTGGCAGGGCGCTGATGTTGCCTGTGAAGCTGAAATAAAAGGACTTTGTGTGTGTGTGTGTGTGTGTGTGTGTGTGTGTGTGCGTGCAAACACCAGAGATTATGTGAAAGGCTGGAGCTTTTCCACGCCATCGGCCCTTCTCTGAAGTGGCTGCAGACCATTTCTCCCTCTGTTTTGTTTTAAAGCTGTCAGGATTTCACAATCAGGTGAGTCAGAGCAGAATGCAGCGTCCATATGATGCACGTGCGCCGCTGTTCGCTGCATTCAGACCACATCACACAGACACAGTGAGAACAGGGTGTACCCTTTGAAAAAGGCTGTGTTTTATTGAAATACAGCAGACATCAACAGGTTGTTTTGCTGGCCTGGGCGACAGAAACAGAGCTCGAATGCTTTTCAAACAACGCAAAAACAAATATTCATGGCTCTTATTTTCTTTTAACCCGACGGACCCCAGAGACGCCGCCAGCCCACGAACCCAGCTGAGTCAGGACGAGTTCGCGTTTGGGCCGGGAAGGGAAGCGTCTTTGTGGCGTCGAGGACGAAACAAAAACAAGCTGGTGCTCCAAATCAGTTTGGGTTCAAAGATGCTGGTATGTGAAGTTAAAAATCGAACGCGCCTCGAGTGCTGGAGGATTTGAAAGTGTTCAGGCCTGTTTTTGTGCCCAGGGTTGTTGTTAGATAGTAGCAGTAGTAGAAGAAGCAGAACCTCAGTTATGAAGCAGGGCTGGCCTCAACTCCCCTTAAAAACACAATCAGAGCACCTGGTTTTCCCAAAAGTGATGCTTGGCTTTGTAAAGTCTTTTTTTCTCGGTTGATTAAAATTTTTTTGTGCATTTTTTTGCAGGAGCGTTGGAGCACTTATCCCTTCATTTGACTTCTTTTCACATGTGAACCAAGATTTAAAAACACAGCTTGAAAGAATGCAGTGAGTTTGATGATTTGCATACGCAAAACTTCCAGAAACTGGATCTGATTCAACTTGTCGAACAGCGGAAGGTTTCTCTGAAACTAAAGTACTTTTGCAGAAGTCACGTCTTGATTGTCTCACGTCTTAAAATTCCTTCGCTGAGCTTCTGAAGTGAGCTGAAAAAGCAGTCAAATGAAGAAGATATCAGCTCTCTACAGCCTATTTTCTACTTTTTCATTCTTGGTTCACATGTGACAGCGACTTGAATTTCAAAACTGAGGACAGCTGGAGACTGAGGACGGATAAACACCCTTGAAGTTTGCTCGACAACGGAGTCTGGATCAGAGCGCAGATTTGCTCTGATAGCAGGAATGACGTGCTCAAAGTCCAGAGTCTAGTTCAGAAAATCTAGTTCTGAAACTCTGATGCAATATCAAAGAAAACCAGAAGACTGCATTGCTCTTTAACTTTTGTGCTTGAAACCGGTAAACAGAAAACAACAGAGCCATCATCAGAGCGAACTTCAGGGAAGGTAAAGGAGTTCAGCCTCGACGTCGCCCCCCCACCCCGCAAACATCTGAACCTCGCTGCTCTTCAAAACTTGACTGTCGCTGCATAAAAAGCTTTTTTGAGGAAACCAGGCGCTCGCCACGATACAACGGAGCAAGTTTAAACGAAGGAAGGACGGAGCACACCGGTCGCACTGCGCGCCGCTTTGTTCGTCCCCTCGTTGTGACCGGGGCAGTTTTCCCCAAGTTTACGCTCACAGGAAACGACGATTGCCACATTTAATCGCGATTGTCGATTACGTACATTTACAAGCCACCTGGGTGCTGCACACCGCCACTCGTCAGTGTGCGCTAAAAATAAACTAGCATAAATTTGAGACAAACCTCTTTAAGACCGCTAACCTACAAGCCGTCAGTTAGCTTCAAAGGCTTTTTAAGGCTTATTTTAGAGGTGCTTTAATTTTTTATCAGGATTTTTTATGAATCAAACTGCAAAAGTGAACCATGATTGTTGTGCTAGCTGCAGCAAAATTAAAGTTGCTGCTATTAGCAAGCCAGAATGACATCACCAGTAGCGCTGATGTAGCCTTCTCTTATTGGCTAAAAATCAACTGGTGGTCCTGATTTCCATTACAAGCGACTCCATCCTGGTACTTTGGTACTCGTAGTGAACTACATTTAGATTTTTAAATTAACAATTGTAATTAGCACAAGTTCGTGATTTAGCTAACGGCTATTTTGATCCTTGGTTTTAGCATCTTACACATTCACATAAAAACGGGACAAGATCGCTCTTCGTCCCTTTGAAGGTAAAAAGTGCAAATTTATGTGGAAAAGTTGGCCAAAAATATTTTAATCAACAAAATAAAAAAGCTTAATAGAGTTGAAAGTAGACTACAGTAGAACTTGTGGCGTGTCAAACGTCACTGAGGCCAAAGGTTTGCTCGAGGCACCGGTCTGGGCTAGCGGAAGCGTTCGAGCAAATTTAGCTCCCACACGATCATGTTTAACTTCTGCAGGACCGCCTTTGCTTTGGTGCCAGTGTGCTCGGTTCCCTCCTCTTTCAACATTCAGACAGTAAACCCACTTTCCTCCCCAAAGCAATTACATTCAATCATTCATCAGAAAAATATTCAATTAAAACTATACACTTGCAAAAATAAAACTCTCTTGGAAGCGTGCTAAGGCTGAGTGTCCACCAGGAGGCGCTCTCCGCCGCGCTGCCAGCACTCCTGTTAGGCCCTGCAGCTGTGCGGCGAGAGCTTCAGTGCTGCTGAACGCTACAAGTTTAAAGAACTGCGAAGACTTCGAGCAAACAAAGAAGCATTTTAACCACCTCGGACGAGCGGTCGGAGCTACCGCCAAACCCCCGACAGCTCGACCGGCCGCCCCGCGGACGGAGTTGGAAACCTCCCCCTGCCGTCGTGTCGTTGAGGCCAGCCCTGGTATGCATTTGTAAATACAGTATTTCAGATATATGTAGTCTTATCATCTTTAAATCTGACCAGGACACTACAGCGGCAGAAGCAATACATAAAGAAGCTCATATTTTGTTTTTTACTATTATTCTTTTTTGTAGGAATGGAACTAGTTTCAACTAATCCTACCAAGCCAACATGTAGTAATGTATCGAATAAAAGGCTATTTATCTTTTTTTTTGTCTGTTTTTGTTTATTACAGGTGTGTATGATGGTGTGCAGGACGACAAAGAGAGAGAGGGAGAGAAAAACGAAGGGAAACGGTGAAAAATGAAAGAAAGCGAGGAGAGACGAGAGAGACGATGAAAAGGAGGAGGGATAGAAACAGAGAGAAAGATCAAAGTATGATTCAGGCAGCGTGAGTCTTGATTGCAGGTTTTTACTGTCGAGTTTGTAAGTTGCGTGATCGTTACCGTTGAATCCTTCTGCGTTTGCCACCGTTTCAAGTCTCTCGACTGGTTTTTTTGTTTTTATACTCAGTTTGTTCCTTATCGGGTTTGAAAACAAAGATCCACGACAGTCACTTGGTCATACAAGCATGTTCGTCGGAACGAGAAGTGCAGATTGGCTTAAGTTTCTTTTTGTTTTTTTCCTTTGCTTTTCTTCAAAAAAGGGTTCCAGACAGTGGCTACAATAATAATAATAATAATATAATATAATAATAATAGCACTTGACTTCACTTCAGCACAGTAAAAAAAAGGAAAAAGGTCCAAAGGTGCTTTTTTTTTCTCTGTTTTGTTTTTTAAATCTGATTTGATGTGAAGCGAAGTCCCCCCTCTTCCTCCCTCCTCTCCCTCCCACCTCTCCTCTCCTCTCAGCGGGGAAGTGGCGGGCGGAAGTCCAGTGCCGGTGAGATGAACAAGTGACTGAAGTATTGCCAACTGGTCCGTCTTTTTTTTTCTTCTTTTCCTTGTTTTTCCTTTTTTTGTAGTGGTTCCACTCCGGTTCAGTACAAAACGAGGAGAGAGAGATGGGAAAGAGCAAAAAACCCCACCAAGAACAAAAAAAGGAAAAGTGTTCACGCACACACTGCTGGCACTAGATGTTTTTTAAAAGTCCAACAAAAATAAACCAAAAAAAAAGCCGAGAGGGTTTTTTTTAAAGGAAAAAGAAAACCAGGAGGATTTTGGGGGGACGAGTTGCTCCCATTTTACAAAATGTAACAAAATTTTTCCCGCAAAATTTTACAAATCTGTAGCAATACAGGAAAAACAAACAAACAAACAAACATATATATCCTATTTACAACGACACGAAGAAGAACCCTTATGTTTTGAAAGTGTAGTGAGAATGCAGCAGATCCCAGCTTTGGCACTCGGCGTTTTTGTTCGTTTTTTTTCTTGTTTGTTTGTTTGTTTTAAATCCACCCTGTCGGTCTGTACTGCTGCTGCAGGCACACATTCAGTGCTCCGGTTCGTCTCCACGGCAACACGGGTCACACACAACACCGCCTCGGCCACGTCCGTCAGTCCCGCCTTTAACTCCGTAAAATACGGCGTTTGTGACGCTACAGATGGCCCCGCCCCCTCCCTGAGCCTGGTTCTGCTGGAGGTTTCTTCCTGTTAAAAGGAAGTTTTTCCTTCCCGCTGTTGCCAGAGTGCTGCTCACAGGGGTCGTCTGATTGTTGGGGTTCTCTGTAGTATTGTAGGTCTTTACTTTGCAAGGGGACGGTTGGTGCTATATGAATAACACTGAACAGCTTTTTCTACCCTTGGCTCTGTGTGATGTCATAGAAAGGAGACAATCCTGCCCACCTTACTAATTTCCCGCTATAAGGAGCAGCCAATCAGGAGAACTTTCCCTTAAAGGGGAGGAGCTGTAGAGTCCAACAATGAAAACTAAAGTCTTTATAGTTTGTAACAGAGGTGATTCACCTAAAGCCGTGAGGAAGTGAAGTAACAGGCCATTTGATTGGACAAAACAGTTCCTCAAGGTTAAACTCAGGAACATATTTCAGAGGTGTTGTTAATGAAAACGTGAAATGAGAAGGATCCACTGAAGTCTAACAGTTATAAATTTAACATGTATGTTGGAGCTCGAGTAACAGAAATGTTTTCTCTTAATTTCTAACATCAAATTTCCTCGGCACTCAGACTGAGTCGCGCAGCGCTCCTTTAGCCGGAGAATCGTTTCTCACGCACCAACCAATCTGAGGAAAATGGAAAACATGAATAAACTCGTCCGCTTGCGCGTGAACAAAGCCTCGTGCGCCATCACGCCGACCAAAGCAGCTTTTAATACGGTGCTGCTGACAACTCCACACTCCAGTGGAAAAACAACAAAAGGAAGTAAATATAGAAAGTTTCTGTGGCGCTGAAGGACTCGCTCGTCTCACAATGCAGCGCTGAGCCAACGTAAAGGCTGAAAACTGGCAGTTAAAGGCTCCAGCTGCAGCTCGGCAATTCAATAAATACGTTTAACAATCATTTAAAAGAAGAGAAAACACTCTGAATAAAACATTCTGGTGACTTCCTCCGACTTAGGTGGAAAAATAAAGACTTGCATAATGATGCAGGCGGACGGCTGTGACAAGGACGAAGAACGACTGGAATAAATCCTGATATGCTGCACGAGTGAAATACTAATTGTTCGTTTAATTCACCCAAAGCGTGCGCTGAGGAATTAATAAACGAATCCTACTGAGGTTTGGTTTGAAGGGACACGAGTTGTTTTTTTCAGGCATGTTTGTTGTTGCGGTTCACTTAAACTTGCTTTGTTTTCCGGCTCGTTTGTGGATTTATTCTCGGGGGGAGTGGAAGTGATCCACTTCACTTCTTTGAAGGAATGTTTGAATTTTGTCCCCCTGAAGACAAAACACATTTAAAGGGTCCGACTCTGTTTACGGCACTCTGCAGGACGCCTGTGCGACGGTGTTGTGTTATAATACTACTGTAAAACTGAAAGCAGCAGTTTGAAATCCACTGTAAAGGTGGGTGTGGGGTGGGGGGGTTTCAATTATCTTCACAGATCGTGACCCTGAATTTCTCCTCGCGCTCTTCAGATTTCAATTTGGGTGCAGCCCACAGCAAAGCGCAGCAGCGGCTCTGTCGTGTTCAAACTCGTGCTTTTGTGTGCGAGCGTCACATCTACACCGCGGTCGCCCCAGGTCGCTGACGGCGTGACGGAGGAGGATGTTGTGCGTGAGCCGGGATGCGACAATCAAGAGATTAAAAACAAAAACCAAAAAAATCTGAAAACACAAGAACAGGGAAAAAAAAATAGATAATCGAGAAACTCTTCTTTTGTTGCTCCATTCTTCATGTTTTCTCCTCTTCTGTTTCCAGCAGCAGCGGCGGCGGCGGAGGCGAATCTTATTCACACCTGAAATGGACAGAGGAGAGGAGGGGGGAGGAGGGGGGAGGAGGGTAAAAAACACATTAAAATCTGTCAAATGTTCGGCGGCACAAATGTCAGTGTCACAAGAACTCGGATGATTCTCGGCAAAAAATGAAAACAAAGCCAAACAAAAAGAGGCAGAGAGCAGCGAGCGAGCGCGGGGGATTAAAAAGCAGTCGTTGATCCCGAGTCGGCGTTCCAGGCCGCCCGGTGCCGCCGGGAACTGGGACACGCTGTGAGAGAACAGCGGCAGACCTGAGCGGCCGCGGCGCGCTCGCTTAATCTGTGTAAGAGGAAAACTGTGCCGAAGATTAAACGAGGCCGGCGGTCGCTGTGATTACAAACACAGTTTTGTATCGTGGGACAGAGAGCGGCTCGTCAGCAGCAGGTGACCTGTGGGTAAACTCCCGCCGTCAGGCGGAGCCAGCTGCTGCTCGTCAAACAGTATCGAGTAACTGATCATCAGCAGGTCTGAGCTGCTCTGTGCAAACGGTTTCAGTCTGCAGGTCATTCAGGTGTCGCAGTCTTCACCTGGGTGGACGTCCCAGCAAATTCACCCTGCGGTCACTCTACGGGCCTCGGTTAGCAGCTTAAAGGTTAAAGTTCATGACCTTACAGATATGAAAGGACTGAGTAGCTGTGGCTCGTTGCCAGGAGAAAGCCTCTTCACCAGCAGTCAGCACGGTGGTGGGCGGCTGATGATTTGAGCACCTCACAGTCACCGAGTGGACCGTGAGGTGCTCTCCAAAGTCCTCTAGAGTCAAACCCACAGATAAAGCCTGGGCTGACCTGGATCACACAAAAGGTGCTGCAAAGTGCAGCCTGACCGAGAGGCTGGACCTTCACGGAGCTGTGCAAACACGAAACCTCAATAACCTGAAGCAACGCTGCGAAGAAGAGTCCCCGCCGTGCTGTGAGAGACTGAGCCACCGCTTCAGGTCGAGCTACGAGCTGCTGCATCACAGGACCGTACGCAGCCAGAGTTCCCACAGTGTCTGATCAGTGTGCTCGCTGTGTTTGTGGAGACTTTAAATAAAGACTGAAAGAACGCGAACATCACTGCGGCTTCCGTTTAAGCTCCTCTGAGCTCGACACAGATTAATCCATCAGGTCTCGAGTCAAAGAGGACAAACTGCTGAATGTCTTCTTCAGCTGCGAACAGCTGCTCAATCAGCTGTTTAATCACAACACCAGCTGACAAGCCACAACAAAACTGTATTACCCTCACATACGCAAACAGCGTGTTACTGAGTCAGGCCCAGAGTCAGGGCCCTCTGAGCTTCACCTAAAAGTTCCTTAAAAAGACACAAACTGACTACAAAAAGATGAAAAACAACCAATAAACACAGGTTAGAGCAGGCTCACAGATGCAGCGACAAAGAGAAAACAAACAACTGCAAAGACACAAAAAAGAGTCAGGCGCTAAGACGAGTACTGCACAGCTGCTACAGAGACACAAGAAACAGCTACAAAGACACAAACGCGACACAAACATCTGCAGAGACAGACGCTCCACATGTTCTGCACAGAGAACAGAACTGAGTGCAGGTTGAACCAGGTTGAACTGTGACTCGAACTCGTCTCCTGTTGCTGGCTGAAGCCGAGGAGCTTTGAGTCCAGGGACAGAAGAAATGACTACAGTGAATTTTACACCCATGACTGTTGAATAAAGACGCGTGTCTGTTTTAATAACTAGCTTGAGAAATAATTGGTGAGTGTCAGTGGTTTAGCTGTAGGAAGCTGCCTCTTTTAAAGACCGCTCAGAACCTTCAGCAGGAAAACGACAGCCTGATGTTCCTCTGAGCGCTCACAGATCCCCAACGTTCAGTGAAACTGGGGAAACTTATCCGAGTGTTCGCGTGTTGCTGCCAGTCCAGAAACTGCTTTTGTTCAGCGCGTCCCTGCAAACACCGCAGCTCACACCGTCTCTAGCGAGCGTCTTCTCCAGATGGAAGATGGCCGTGTTTTGTTAGACACCTGGTATGTTATTAAGCCAGGTAATACCAAGGAGGAGATTGCCTTCTCACAAAACTCTGTGGATGTCATAGCGAAGTCTGAACCCTGAGCTGGTGTTTGAGGCTCGTACTGTTAAACCCACAATGGTGGCAGAAATCACAGTGAAGGTCAGAATCCCCGACAAACACGCTCCTGGTCCGGCTCCTCACCTGACGCTCTGCCGTCAGGCTGACAAACCGCGGCCGCGTTAACCAAGAACTGCTGGAGATCCCACCCACCACCTGTTTGACCTGCTGCCCTCTGGACTCCGCCTCGGGTCAATCAGGTCTCACTCCCACAGACTCACAAACAGCTTCTTCCCCTCAGACTGGAAGCGAGCACAGACCCCACCCACACTCGCACTCACTCTTAGCCATGGTCCTGAGTCAGCCTCATCCTTCAGGCCAATCACAGCCTGCAAACGCCACGTCTGACCCGAGCTCCCGTCAGCCTCACAGCAGACACACCTGTGGAATCGCCTTTAACACCCTGCGTCGCCTCGCTCTCAAACTTAGGCTTCGACGCCGCCCGGCAGGGTGACGACAGAGCCCCATCAGCCCGTTACAGGTGACGGGTAAAACTGATTATCCTATTCAAATGGACCAATCAGATGGGACCACAATAGAAAATAACACAGATGTGGTGCAGCATCAGGAGCGCTGTGTAATTAGGAAACTTCAAATCAAGAAATTTTAACTGGAAAAGAAAAAAACCTTTTTTTATTAAAAATGACAAAATGGAAATAAATGAATGTTCTTTAAGATTAAGGCGACCCGGGAGTGACTGTGATCGTCTCGCCGCTCGGTGTTTCGCATCATGATGATGACAGCGAGGGAGCAGCTCTGCAGCATGTCAGCAATTAAGGCTTCATCTATAAGGTACGACTGTTGATAAGTTATTACAGGACGCCGCGCTCCACTGATTAAATGAAGCCCGGAGCTGCTGTGATTAGTGAGACAGGACAATGGATGGTGGGCGCGCACGCACACACACACACGTGCACGCACACACACACGTGCACACACACACACACACACACACGAGCCGGGGACATCAATTAGCGCTGCTGCAGAAATTTGTTTTTGCTCCGTCGGTCGTTACGACTCCCTAATATAATCTGGTTGATGCCATCACTCTTTAGCTCTCTTTATTAGTATCATCCTGCTGATGTGACCTTTGACCCCTAACCTCATGTGTAAAATGGAAAAGGAGGGAGCGCGAGAGCGAAAGCAGCTTTAAACGAGCCGATGTTTGGAGCCCTCGCTCGTCTCCATGTTTGAGACCTGTGAACGCGCCTCGCTTCATTTCATCCTCCCATTCTTCATTTTCTCAGCAGGCATTTGTCCCTTTCATCCCCCGTTTACCTTGGCCTCCTGTCCAACAGACCGGCCTTACGGTTACAGCAGAATGAGAACAGGAACATATGTTTAATTTCTAGTATGTTTTGCTTAACGCCTGAATGACTTTTTTATTTTGACGAGCGGCGGCTTTGATTAAGCCGAACGATCGCTCTCAGACCAGCACCGGGGGAAAACGGTCGAGTTTATTTCTGCTGCAGTTTCTCCTCTCAAGGTCTCAAATTTGGATTTTATTGACTGGTGTGTGTTAAATTGTGCTTTTCTGTCTGTATTTCTGCTTTTAGATTAATTACAGAATGCAATTTTTTCCTTGTTGCTGTGATATCGACCGTTTTTCACTGGCTGTGATTTGTGGTCTGTTGTCAGAGTATAAACATGCTTCTAATAGTTTATTCAGAGCAGCACCAAATCAATATTTTCATCTGAACAAAGGATTAAATGACTGTGTTTAATCCGAAAGCTGTCATTCGGAGTGGTTTAGCAGCCCACTCTTGTTTTCTATTAACTCTGGAGAGCAGTTCAGTGTCTTTCAGCCTGAAGTTTTGGTTTTCCGTCCACACGCTGAGCTGTTTTTATGTTACTCACGTTACGGCCTGCTCGGCATCAAAGAGGTAAAAATTAGACACAAGCTGGTGGAGAAAAACCAACCAGCAGTGAAAAGGTGGAGAAACTCCCTCCAGGAGTTTGTGGAGAACCCAGAGTCCCGAGTGTCTGACTATAGAGCTTCTACATATGAACAGATGACGTCATCGTTTGTCGTTGTTTAGGTTTGGCCCACGCTCTCTGATGGAAAAGGGTGGAGTGCCCACTCTGGGTGGAGGGGAGTGGAGCAGGCGACTGGCAGACTGATGGAGGCTGTGGTGAAGGTGAAGCTGTCTTTGCTGGTTGAGCTGCCCTCGCACATGGCCACGAGCTCTGGGTCCTGAGCACAGGAGTGAGACCGAGGAGGGAAGCGGCCAAAACGAGCTTCACCTGAAGGGAGGCTGGGCTCAGAGCGGAGCCGCCACTCCTCCACGTGGAGGCGAGCCAGTGGAGGCGAGGATGCCTCATGGATGTCTCCCAGGGAGGGGGTTCAAGCGTGTCCAACCTGGAGGAGACTCCGGACACGCTGGGGAGATGATGTCTCGCAGCTGGCTTTGAGGAGGGAGGTGTGTCTGTGCTTAGACACCAGCGGGTACGAAGACAGATGGATGTGATGGATGGGGGTGGGGGTGAGGGGAGCAGTGTTATGGTTAACTACGGCCCTGAGAACGGGGGAGGGGGGGTGTTGCGCAGCCCTCTCTTTAACGTGGCCTCGGCGATGAAGCTGTTACAGTCGGTGCACGCCGATCGACTCCTGTTGGAGGTTTAATGAGAAAATTCAGTTTCCTGTTGCCATGTTTTAGTCGGCGCCGCATATTTCCCAGAGTTCCAGTGTGACTTCTATCTGGAGCAGGTTTTCCATCAGCTGCGTTTGGTGGATTCCAGCGTTCACCTGCCACGCTCACTCGTCGGAGCGCCAAACTGATTTGGAGAGCAGAACTCGGCCTCCAGCAATAACTGGCGCCAGAGCCGAGCGTCTGGCAGAGCGGGCGAGTCTGCGGCCGCCGCCACAAAGTGCCAGGGTTTAGATAGCTGCTCGTGTTAATTTATCATCCCGCGCAGGGTCCAAATCACCAACCCCCCCACCCCCACCCCCCAGCGCCGCTGATGAAGCCACACTCTTCCTGTTTCACTGTTCTGCAGCGGCTGCTGGTGAATGAACTGAGGGAAAAGGACAGTTTGATTTGGGTTTCATCATGTTGGACATCTCATTTCTGTAAACGGCGACCTGTTCTGATGTGAGGGTTGGAGCAGAGGGGTGGAGAGAGCAGCTGCAGCAGACTGATGGAGCAAACACCTCCAGCAAACACATGCGAGCAGAATCTGTGTCGAGTTTTCAGGTAACCAACCAGAGTGCACCTCGACTCCTGGCGAAGTCTGAACCCTGAGCTGATGTAAACGTCATGTCTGTACAGAAGACCCGCTGTAACCGTATGATGTTGGTGGAAAGATGAAAATATTACTGTAGTTAATGTTTTTCTGAGTTATTTGTTTTTTATGTGGTTTTTCATCTTTGACTGCTTTAGTCTCTACATCATCAACTTCTTTTGGTCTTCTTCTTCTTTGCTTCTTCATTACATCCAGACTTTGAGTAACATGAATGTTATGAAGTTTATACTTTGGAACAGAAGCTTTTAACAGAATGCTGAAGTGTGTGAAAAGCCTTAATACTTCTTCCATCTGAATTTTGGTCACTGGGTCTGAATCATGAAGCCAATAGGCTTTGAACCTGCTTTACTTGTATAGCACGACTTAACTGGCTCAGATCTGTGACCTCAGCAAACACTTTCCGATGAGTTTGCAGTCTCAGTTTCTAGTTTCAAGTCTGTTTGCAGTCAGAAGAAGACTAAGGAGAGGTAGGTGTTAGTGTGTGATTGATAAGTCCATTGGGCCCCTTCATTTGTCGTGGTGGATTCCAGAACATCGAGATGGTAAGACCCAAAGCACTCCACGCTCTGCTGCAGGGTTTTGTGCTAATTAGCACGCTAAACCCATGCATTTTAACCTCTGAGCATGTTAGCATGCCGTTAGCCTGCAAACTCTGTAGTAACCATGTGCAGAGAAACTGACGCGTCTTGAGATGCAGTGATAGTGACAGAAGCCTAAAGGTTGAAGGTAGCGCTATAACTTCAACTGTGACTGTTTCCAAGCCAAACACCAGAGACCAAACTCACTCCACTGTCTACGGTGCGTGAAGCATCATCTTCTTTAGAAATGTTTAATAATTAATAAGCGAACACGCCGCCTCATATTTGTTACCCAAACACCAGGCAGTGCCCGTGCCTCAGCGCCACATCGTCGGGCACCGACCACAAAGTCGAGCAGGAAGCGTGACGTTTAAGCGTTTGTCAGAACTTCCTGTCTGACGCAGTAGAGGTCAGCAGGTTTTCCTCTGTCACGGTTTATTTTGTTGTGTTTTCACCGGAATCCGTCTTTATTAGTGCTGAGCAGAGCGCTGCGACCCGTTTCTCATTTATCTGAGACCAGAGTTTCAGTTTCTGGGCGTCTGATTCAAATACAGCATAAAGCAGAGAGTACGCTGCGTTTCTGAAAGGAAGAATAAGTTTTTATGCTGCTCTGGATCTTTGTGGCTTCTGTAGCGCAGTTGGTCTTCAAAGCTGTGGTGTAATTTATCCCCGGCGCCTCACGTGAACAGTGTTCCTCTGTTATTCTTATGTGGGAAGGAACTACTTTTTCAGATGTCGTATTATTATGTGCACGAGTCACTTTACCTCAGCTTTTTTCCCCTGTGGGATAAATAACGCCTTTTTTTGGACTGAAGCGAGGCAGGTAAAAGGAGCAGAAACCTTTTTCAAATTTCACTGACAGCGTTTTATTTCCCACTCCCACACTTATTGTTGGTTTTTTAAAATGCTGCATATTGATTATTGATTCCAGCTGTCAGGAGCTGATTTTGAAGGCACCCGAAAGTGGCGACAGTCTTTCAAAAGTGACACCGTAAGAAGTGGAGTGTCTGCCTCGTTTACAGCCGTTTGTCTTGAGGAAATCATTTGAACCGATTCTATTTTGATAAGCAGAAAGCCGTGTAGAAACATTAAGACTTTCAATCTTCTGTCAGAACAGACAGAGGAGGGAACAACCGGCTCACTCTGTCATCACACTTTGCCCCAGGCGGAGCCTTTTATCTATCAAACTTTACCGCACCGGGGGGTCTGTTGCTATTTTTGGGCCTCCAATAATGTTTTTTTCCCTAAATTTTCCTGAAGTTGGTGTTTGTTGCTGAGCGGTTGTAGCCAAAACTCACACAGCTACACACACAGACGGTGATTGGCTCGAGTGGGTTTGTTTGTAGCCTGGGATCGAGGTGTTGGCTTCAACACTGACAGGCTGGGAGAGGAGGGGAGGGGGGACACGGGGGACCAATGAGGGCCTCGCTGAGTTAAATCAGTTCAGTCTGTAGGTGGTAAAACCTGCAGCCACACATTCAATTCACTTCAATCCATCCATCCATTTTCCTCGCCGCGCGGCCAGCTCCGGTCACCGCGAGGCTGGAGCCAATCCCAGCAGGACACCGAGAGGCGAGGACAGTTTATTCAAATGTGCCAGTTCACAACAATAAACACCTCAAGGGGATTTAAATGGTAAAATAAAGGCGTTATAATATTTATTTATTTATTTTTCCAATGTGAAAAAAATGTGATGGTGCCCTTTGAGTAGCATTTGGTGATGGTGGGGAGGAAGAACTCCCCTTAACAGGAACAAAGACTGAGATGTAAGAGTGAGAGGTGGAACAGATAAGACTCAATGATGTTTCAAAATAAAACAGGAAGTGAGCAGATGCAGGTGA